ACAACGAAAAGCAGAACCACGTATTTTTAAACGATCTTTTCTCTATACAAGAAAAATTTTTCTTGAAAAAATTGAGAAAATATTTTTAAAATAACTGTATTGTCTTCAAGCGGAAATCGCGCAAAAACACTTGTTTTTAAACAAATTGTAAAATATATTTTGAAAGATTTTATTCTTTAAAACAGACTTCATTTATTACATAAATCTCTATCTTCAATATTGGACCTTCGAAATGTTAATTTTTCGGTAATGTTCGCCGAAAATAAAACCAACACCACTTTCCTTACTGATCTACGATACTTACGACGAGAACATTTATAGAAAGAATCTGGAGCCATTTAAGAGAAAATAACTGTTTAAACATTTTCTTGATTTCATGTAAAATTACCCGAAAAGTACTTCATTTTCGAAAAATTGTATTGATTTTTTCTTTGAGTGGTTCTGCCTGATTGCAAGACCTGTAATTGAACAACAGATTTCGTTGTGAAAACATCTTCCATAGTTTTTGGGCAACACTGAAAACATTTTTAATTTTTGCAGTTTTCGGAAATTAATAAATTTCAACAGAAGTTGGATCTGCGCCACATTTATAATGGCACTTTGCTTAATTAAAAAAATAAAGAAAATAGTGCGAGTCATTTTTTAGAATCATGATAAGTACCTCCAAAAATCTACATATCCTTTTCAAATTCAAGGTGCCGCGACATCACCTTCTCAGGTCAGGAAATATCAATTTTGATGAAAATCCTGCCTAGGGTTTGTCCGCTAGTGTTGCGCGACCGGACAGACGGGCAGATGGACGGACAGATAGGCGGTTGGACAGAGAGATGGATGGACAGACGTATGAACGAACAGATGTTTTGTCGTAAACCAATTGTTCAATATCAAAGTCACAATATATGGCTTCTGACTATAGAGGTATTAGATCAAGTTATTTACTTCACAACAGGAGCAAGAATTACTCATTTACGGTCCTAAAATACGAGTTTTTCTGTCGAAAATTCGCCTTTTTTGCAGGTATTCGTACATAACTAGATTCTATACTACGTAGGAACTATAAGAGAAAATAAAATTTGCTTTTATGTTTCCAGAACACCTTTTTATTTCACATTGTCAAACTAATGGAGCTATAAAATTGCATAGACTTCCTGGCACTAGTATTCAATTCCTCTCCTTTTGAGTCGAAGATATCTTTCCGGTTTTGTTTCATCTTTTCCGGCAGCCGTCTTTCGGCATCTTAGGGTTTTATGAGGATTTTCCGCTGAGACCGCCTCTCCCTGGCGACAAGGACACCCATCCCCTCCCTGTAAAACACACCAAAGAAGCGTTTAGGCCAATCTAGTCCTTCCCCTCTTACACATAAGCCTGAGGTTGCCTATTGCCCCATGTCAATTCTTGTACCAATTCTGGTAAGAAACCTGTTCCTCAATTAAAACAGATTGCATACAAATTCCTCACACAGTTACTGTTTAGGGCAAGGAATTGTGGAAAAATCAGGGTATAGATGTAATACAGGAGGCACTAAGAAAGTCCCCGTACCACTAAAATAATTTTTTAACACGCCGTGCTCAAAATGCGTTTTTTCGTGCTTGTTTAGTGAACGAAAAAACTAAAGTTTTCACAGCCTGCAGAACTGCGAAGCTTGAACGAAACATCTGTTACGATTTGCAATTGTCCTTTGTCTTAACGTCTTTGTTTATTATTTACAAATGGCTACGACACTGACTGGAATCCACTTACTTTTGTGCGAGTAAGGTATTTCCAGTTATTTGGTATTTAATTGATATTTCTTTACTTGCCGAATTGCCTTTCGTTCACGGCGTGCTACAGTATAGTTATCGCAACATGGGCGCGAGGTGATTCTCGTGCTCACAAATTCGACTAGTGCGTAAATGACCTGTTTCGCGCCCTTGTGGCGTAAACTACTATAAAACGCGCTTTTCGAACGTTCTCCATCGTAGTTCTTGGGCGCTCCTGCTCGGAGAGGCCTGATCGCTGGCTCGAACTCTTGCGAGTAGTTACGTTAATATATTAAGTTATGTCTTAAATTTAATATCTTAATAAGGTCTTAATAGTAAGTACAAAGAAAAACAATCTACAGTTTTTAGTTACCGACGTTCCGATTCCTTGTTGGGCCAGCATCAGGACTGGCAATTTATGATAATTACATTATTTTTTTTTCACTTCTTATGCTATACTCAACAAATTACTTAACATTTAAAAAACACATACATCGATATACGTATTACGTTTATGTAAAGAAATGCTAATTTAATAAAATAACATCAATAAATATAACTGAAACTTGCATACGTGTCCTGTACAATCTAATTTATATATCTATGCCATTTGAGATTATTCGTTTCAATGTACGCGGAGTTACTTTAGCTTCAAAACTATTAACTTCACACTCGGAAATGAATAAATTTCTCAAAATTAAATATCTTCACAGAAAAAATGTAGAAAAAACCTTGACAAATTTCTTCAATTGACGCAATGCTCCAGTCATCTTTCCAGTAATATTTATATTTAGGGATTGTGTTTTACCAAAAAGCACGAACATTTTTTCACATTTTTCGGTGTCCTGAAAGTCAATGCGACTTAGAGAATATCATAGAAGAGCAAGATGTGTTCATTTGGTAATTTCCGGAGGGCACCTTCGAGCTGTGAGAGCAGGAGCGACGCCACAATGCCGTCGTCCCCGTGTGCGGACAACACGAGGCTCACCGCCCCGCAGAACACTCACAATATTGGTTCTCAGTTAAGTAGCGAACTGGTTCCCTATTAAAGTTTATTCGTAAAGTTGTGCTCTTTTGGAATGCAACAGTAAATTTTCTATTTCATTTAATGTAGCTACTGATTATAATTTATTCAATTTTCACGCCTTTAGCCCCTACATCTTTTACTTAGTTTTATACTTTCTTATACCTTAACAGCGACGTTCATGGCTGCGCGATGGAAAAGAACGTAGTATGTACTACATTAAATTATTTGGTGCCTAGACAACACCGGTATCTCATAAATAACTCATCTAACGCAGGGATTCCCAACCTTTTCTTTCATCCATCCCTTTGAAGAGAATTGTTTGCTTCATCGACTCCGTTGGGCGTTTTCTCGAATATATAGCATCGATGATCACAATACAAGAGCTGTATATAAATGCTTTAAAGGTAAAGATTCAGTACACATATATTATCGTAAATGTCTCGTAAAGTTTCAATAATCGAACACGCCTCTGCTGAGTTTGTAATCTTCATTGTAGTGCAATGATTATAAAATAGTGTGTGTTTTTTGAGATCATTTCTCCGGTGCGTGTTGCAGAAAGGATATTCTTACGCAATGGTGTATCATCGTCAGTTCCTAGTTATAATTTCTTGAAATTTTTAACCCCCTAACTCTTAAGGACTAACGATAGATACGGAAAATGAGGAGCAAATTTGTAACGCAGTTTTCTGTTTCGTTGCTTAATGTCAGAAAACAATGATCAAGTTCATTAATATGTTTGTACATGAATGGAACCTTGATTGTACTGATCAGTCGCCAATTCATATTCGGGTATTGACCCCCCGTCGACTCCTTAAACATCATTGACCCCTTTAAAATTTCATCGACTCCAGGGGGTCGATGCCGAGCCCGTTCTAAGGTATCAATCTTTCCAACAACGTTTTGACCTTGAAGGTTCCATCGGAGATCATTCCGAGCACGCCGCTATTGCTCACCGGGGTTGCTCACGTGTTGCGAAGGCGTGGGTTGCGTTGTGGTGGGAGAGGGGCCACTGGGAAAATCCCTTGCCCTTCCTTTGTTCCTAGTTTTTCATTCTTAGCCTCCTCGTTTGGACAATGGCCATGAAAGGTCGTTTAAGAAGTGTTTTTGTGCGGGGGCATGGTGCAGAAAATTCACTTGCAATTGGCAAAATGGTTCTGGTTCATACATATGTGGAAAACGTAACGTTGCTGTCTAGGTTCAAGGAGCTTGCTAGTTTTATTTTAAGTAACATCAAAAATCATTGATTAATTAGTTATTCCCATCGTGTCAACTGCTAAGGGCATTGGTCCCATAAGTGTAGTGCATGTTTTATCGCGGGAGGTGGCGGTGGTATATCCCCACAGGATGGCGAGATCCGGCGCCCACTTATCTGTCGGTTCGCTATTTGCGTGTTTCCCCGCAACTACATATCTCCCATCCGCAGGACACCGGCCAGCTTGGACAAGTACTACTTCCGTAGGTAGTACTCTGTACTACCTACGGAATTTTCGACATTGTGTGGTAATGCAAGTAAGTGTGTGTAAGGGGTGAGGATAGGACAAGGAAGGGGAAGGAAAAATCGCGCGCGGTGCATGGCCCTTTTGTTCGCAGCATTCGCCTGGCATTGATCAAAAAACGACGGGAAACGATCAGAAACGCTGTTTGCTAGAATTCTCTTCCAAATGGTGTCTGAATTGGACCTAGCCATCTATGTCGAAAATCCTGGCACCGTGGGGACTCGAACCTAGGGCCTCCGGGTCCAAGGCACTGCGGGGACATCAACTGAGCGAAAGAGAGAAAGGAGAGCCGCGCGCTGAGAAGTTGGGTGGAAGCCCGCCTGAAGGGGAATTCCGGAGGTGGGCGCTGCGGGTCAACGGCCGCCAGGGGAGGGGGAGAGAACCCCCGCGGGGCCCCCGCGCGGCCGGATGCACGAAGCGTCCGTGCGCCGGGAGCACGCGGCGCGCAACCCAAGCAGCGGCTCATCTCCATCGTCACAACAGTGGCTTTTAATTAATACGAGACATACACCATTCTATTACCCTTCGCACTAAATGAAATATCAATTGTATGTTTTTATCTACTTATTTTTTGATAAATCATAAAATTCATATATTTTTGCACCTACCATCTACCCTTTAAACCTCAATGTTGCATGCGAGCTACATGTAGAATTTTCTAAAATTTGAGGACATATTTGAAAAAATTGCGAACTTACTTTAAACTATTCAATGAATATACCATTTTATTGAATGCAGGGAACATTGTAACAATAACGGTAAGTAAACATATCTTATTTTTCTTATCTTTCCCATCATCTTGCCGTTCAACAATGAATTTGTCAAACATCCATCGATACATCGTTTCCCAATGCAGCGTCGTACAAAATTATTGTACTTTATTTTTTCAATTTCTCTTTCATATTACATTTAAATCGTATTTCAAAGAGAGATAACGTAATTCGATTAATTTAAATTAAGGTTTGCTGATTGCTTGAAAGAAAATACATCAATATATTGAGAATACGAATTTTAGAATAGAATAAAAATCGAATAAATGTTGGGATTTTCAATAGAAAATTAAAATTAAATTACATAATTTTTCATTACCTTTTGATCCATTCCTGTAGTCCAAGGATTTTTCTCCTGGCCCTTAGTTGATGGGACACATGTATACATTTCATCAATTTCAAGCAGAAATTTCGCCAAAAATTTCTACTTTTTTAAACAAATGTACATGATTGTTTTTAATGAGCCGACTTCCTAGAACACATTTTGTCTAAGACAAAAAACTCTAACCTCGAATATTCCAATTCACACGAAAAAGAGACTTTGCCATTCTTTTCAGTGTCCCTTCTTTTCTCCTGCGTTGAACGCGCGAGATCTTCCTTGTCCTATCTTCACCCCTTCCATACACTTCCACTTCCATGCACTACACTACTACACAAGCCGGGAGATCGGTCGGGAGCTTAGAGCGTGTCCCGGCTCCGGCGATAATGGTGGGAGGTGCTCGGTAGCCGATGTACGTCGGGCTTGATATCGCCGCTAAAAGCATGTGCTACACTTTCGGGACTACCAACCTGACCAGTGACGCGCCCGGAATGGCTAATCCACGAGTGGCCAGGCGCGTCTGCGAGCCGCGAGGGGCGGCGGGTGGGGGGCGCGACGCCGATCGCTCACCTGTCGTTTGGCCGCTCGCCGGCCCCGCGGCGAGGAGCAGCAGCAGCAGCGCCAGGAGCAGCGGCGGCGGCGAGGAGGCGGCCATGGCGCCGCGAGAGGGCGGAGTGGCAGGCGGTGGGCGCGGCGCCCAGACCCGGCGGGTGCTCGGTCCCCACTCCGGCCACACACTCACCGCCTGCATACAGAGCACACCACTCAACGACCAACATCCAGAAAGAAGAAGCGACGGGCCGAAGATCCGAAGAAACCGAACCGAAGTACGATGCCAAAGAACGAACTACTTTGAGTTCTTTGGCACTTTTAGTTTCTTCTTCTGTCTTGCCAGGATTAGGCCTGACGCCTGTTCCAATCTTACCAGCTCTTCCTCGGTCTTCCCACACTTCTTTTGCCTTATGTATTACATTACATTGCTTGTTTTGGAATCCTTTCTGCTGGCATGCGAAGGACATGTCTCTCCGTTTTTCTTTATAGTGGATCGCCATTTCGGTTATTGATTCCATCTTAGGGGCGGATGCTTGGTGGAACGAGTAGCCAAGCTAATGCTCTAATGCTCTTGCCGGTCCCAAACCCGGACAAAGCAGGAGTGCCCGGTTCGTATTCCGGCGGGGTCAATCAATTCTTTGAACAAATTTAATTAGTAAAATGCATTGTTACTCAGTAACGTGGTCACAATTTGGATTCCTTTACGATTGCGGAATATATTCTCCGTGCGGAATCGCGTCCAACAAGGTGACGGGAATGGTGACAATTATATATATTACAGTCGCAGTAAAAATTACAAGAACAAGAAGATAATGGAAGGACTATTTTTGTTCTTTTTGGATAAATACCTGAAAAGGCTATTGTTTTGGTTTTTGTTAAAGATATTCTAAGGGATTCGAATATTCTAAGTTTTCTAAGTTAAAGATATTCTGGGGACTTAAAACCAGATTTTCCCTTCCATTCAAGGAACATTAGTTACGCTTCTCATGCCGAAATCTACAAAATGTATCTTTTCTGGGTATTCGATTACATTTTTGGACGGTTCCCTCACTCCGTCGGGTTGTCAGAAATAGTGGAAGTTGGGCACCAATGTGGAGCAATTTTTACTTATAAAAATATTTAAAGTTCTTTCTTTGGACAATTTTGGGAGGATTTCCGCTCTTTGGGATCTGTAGCTTCCGCACTTCTGGATTCACGTGTTAGGGGAATTTCTGTGCTATCTGCCGTCGTAAGGTTTATAAGCGTTTTGCCACTGATGGGGAGCCGGAGGTGTACACGCAGTCTATGATAAATGGAGGATTTTTGAGGTACCTTTTCTTCGAAACTTAAAGGTAGAGCTTTGAAATTTTCGCAGTTTGTACAATGAGTCTTTCTCATCATTTGGACAGAAACGTTTTCTCCACGCTGGGATTCACGCCCTGATTAACAAGGGATTCGCGGTATCCCTATACAGCCAGCCTCACAACTGTAATCAAACTATCCGAAACCTTAAAAAAGTTTACATTTAAATTTCCAATTTTAAAATATTCAGAGATTTTCATTTACATAATTCTGAAAACTGGAGTTCGGAGTTCGTGATATAAAAATTCGTGGTATCCTATTATTATTATTATTATTATTATTATTATTATTATTATTATTATTATTATTATTATTATAAATGACTGTAATACAGTAATCTCTTGCTGGGACCCAGGTTCTGTTCGTGTTACGGCGGAATTTGTTTAAAGCGAGTTCGTACTAACGAGGGTTTACTGTACTTTAAACAATCATATTTGTACAAGAAAAAAATTATCGTCAATATTGTAATGGAACTGCCCCGAATCCCGATTTTCGCCATGAGTCGGCGCTAGTCGGATGCCCTCCGCCAAGCCTCAGCGCCACGCTCACTTTGAGTGAAGTTAGAGCCAAGGCGAAGCAGCATTGAAGTGAGTGGGATGAATGAAAAGTTACGTATTGAGACCCGATCGGTCTCCTTACAGAAATCATTAAGGCAGTAATTCAAGCGACGCTCAAAACCAAGCGGCGCAGCGAACTGCGGTAACGACAAAAGAAGAACAGATCTTCCGCACGTCCCAAGTCCGAGAGAGGCGAGAAGTCCCTTAGTAGCGAGGAGAGAGTAGTAGCAGGTATAGGCTCGACCAGCGTGGAGGGCAGTGGAGGGCAGGCGAGCGTCTAATAGACGGAGGAGTGGATGTAGTATCAAAAGCCGTAATAAGTCGGAATAAATGCGTCGAATAGGATTAACAAGATTGTAAGGTGGTGATCACGATGGACAATTACGGACTAAATGTGGAATGAATAAATAAGGTAACGACAGTGCAGTATATTGAAAGTAGTCAGCGCCGGGGATGAATGACTACCACGTGGCGATCAGGACAGAGTAAGTGTATGATAGAGACAGTGGCGGTGCATGGTGTGATGCCAACATAATTATTTGGATTTGTTTACATCCGTGCAAACTGGTAATTACGTTGTGAGGCGTGAGGGAGAGCGAGAGTGAACGTCAGCGGCGGCAGCTTCCACCTCGCGCAGCGCCGAGCGCCACCGGGCGAAGCCGGGACAACTGCCGAGGAAGAATAGGCGACGGCTCGTACTGACAAGTATTCATGTAATATTAGAATGGTGTGAGATCCAGATGGAGGTTTCTCGTACAAATCGGATCAGTATAGAGGTTTTACGTACTGTTGAGGGGAGTCGTGGAAGGTAAGGTATGGTAAGGTAAGGTATGGTAATTAAGCTGACATATATGTAATGGTTCGGCTGGCTGTATTGTAATTTCAAAACAGGAAGCATGCAATCGCAAGGAAAAATTGAATGTAATAAGAATAGTAAGCGGTGATCACTCAAAGGTACTCAGTCTATGTAATATTAGTAATAAATTTTGTTCTTGTTGTTTTTCTTTAAAGAGGTGTTCCTTTTTAATACATAATAAGTGAATGCAACCAAATAAGATTCCTTCCCCTGAAACAGATTCTCTGTCCCAACTTAATAAATTTCATGTATCTGATGAAATTATATGCGATCATCAGTTCACTTACGTGGTGACACTCCACGTCAAAAGAGGGTCTAGGATAAGTACGGTCACAAAATATAATGAAATAAGAATGAATGACGCGTGAACGAAAAAATACCAACAAATAAACAAGAGCATTACTTAGTATTAAGGAATTTTTGTCCAAGTTAGGTAGGCCAAAGCGCTTACCAAATAACTATAGAATTACATTGAGCTAAAAGTAAGTTAGTTTTAGGTGTTAATAACAGCCTCCCTCTTAGCTATTTAAGCCGTAAGGCATTAGCATAATGTAACTTAACTCACAAAAATAAATTCACTCCACCTCAGGGGTACTGTTGAGGAGAAAACTCTCCTTAGAAGCGAGAGCAGCGCCCGAGCAGGGACGATTTATTTTGAATTTGTTGCTACTTGCTGGCATTATTGCCTGTCAATTGTGTTCATACATGTAGTTCTTCACTTTAGAGATAATCATCCCTCATAGCTAAACCAATCCATTTTATTTACAGATGTTCTTTTTAATAGATACTCAGATTAAAATTTGATTCAAGGATTTGAATGGTTGAAATAGTTGTAGTATTTGTGTTTAGGAGAGGTTTAAAAAATATTTCGGAAATCGTGAAATTATTTTCCAAAGGTGTTGGCATGTCTGACCTCGTTGGTATGTTTTAGTGGCAGGTGCGTCGGATAGTGTCTCGTAGACGCTTGTGGGTGTTTTTAATGTTAAGCATGGAGGGGTTAGATTTTCGCTCTCTGTGTAATTTTTGGTTGTTAATGTGCCATGGGGCATTGAATATTTTTCAAAGACATTTATTTTCGATTATATATGTATCTTATTAATATGGCAGTGTGCTTTTGCCCGTGCGGGGCGCGCGTAAGTTGGGGCAGATGCACCGCCAATGGCTCAAGCGACGCCGCGCCCGTGACACGTGACACGACACCCACAAGCGCCGCAAATGCAGCGGGTGTAGTGCAGCGATGCGGTTCGCTGCCTGCGCCATCGCCTACGCACCTATGATACTAGGTGGGCTCCTAGGTTGAGGGAACGACTGCTAAACAATTAGTCCCTTTCATCACCAGATATGATGAAAGTTCTGTACAGTTGTACCCAAGTTGGCAGATTCAAACCCGATAGAAGCCGTGGAATTTTTAAGGGCGAAAAAATCCTTCGTACGCCTTCTTTCGGGGGGAGAGTTAAGCCGGCTGTCCCATGTTAGTAGATTTACTTGCATGTAAAAGATCCTCAAGCCTAAATGACGCCTCTGAGCTAAATTCAAATCGCCTGTTTGTCGCCCAAGAAATACATCCATCTCTGCTAGTTGGTGAAAGGAGCGTAGCGAATTTTGCGTGGTCAGACGGAAGAGCGGGCCTCATGGCCTGAGTCTCGCCACGTAAAATAAGGCATAATTCAATTCATTCATCCTTTGGGCAGGCTCAGGGCGTCAATGAATGTCACTGCAGGACCTCAGACCGGGAGGTCCTGTGGGTCGGGCCCCGACGGTGGCCGGATTTTGACCGAAGCTAGATAGCTAGGTCGACTTCAGCCGCTGTCTGGAGGGCAATTCGAACGACCGGCTGCTCCGATCGGACTTTTACGTTTCACAGCAGGTCGGCCTCGCACGTGGAGCGACCTTTCCTTCCTCTTCCTTGTCCTATCCTTACCCCATACACACGCTCTCACTTACGTGCATTACACAACCACAATGCATTTGTCCCAATTGCAAGTCGAGAATCAAGGAGTCACGGATTCAAGAAAAATCGTGAAAGAGGAAGATAGGTTGCACAAAATGTATTTGCAAATACAAATACTTCGCAAACGCATTTAATACCACATTTTTTATAATATTCTTCCTTTTTGCTGCTATTTATATTAGCACCACTCCCTCCCGAAGCTTCAGCTTCGCCCCTGTCGTTGTTAACTTCAGTTGTGAATGAACTGTCTCGCACAGTCAGCATTGCGAGGTGCCATTCTTTCAATTCACTTTTACTTTAATGTAAATTATGTCATTTAAATCATATTTAAAAGCATGTACTGAACTTGGTTTTCGAAGAGGTAAGTCTAAGCCCCAACGAATAGTGGCTTTACTTCCATGGGCCAAACAGTTTTCTAATAACGTTAACATGACGAAACATCTTTTTCCAGTATTACTACTCTATTACTACTCTCGAAATTTTCAAGGATTAGATAGCGCATTTTACTCACATTTTTAGTTTAATCTTTAAGTAAGAGTTAATTTTACCTGAAAAATTAAATAAATAATTCCGCATCCGTTTCACAGTTGCTTTCAGTTACAATTCCACATTCTATGTTTATAATGCGAGGTATATTGCTGCAAAATTATTACAAATAAATCGTTGTAAATCGACGTGTACATTATTTCTAGTGGTATTATCTATAAATGTACTACAAAACTGTAAAATATGATTCGGTAAAATTAATTCATAATTACATAACATCCCCGTTACCTGAGATATTAATTATCACAGATACGCTTGGTCCACCTTAACTCAGAATCGATGTTTTACAAACGTTGTATTATCCCGACCATAAGAATACACATGGTTAAATTAAAATTCCTACGCGGAGATAAATCTCTCCCTGCCTCTGCCTCTGAACGTGACAAGGCAAACAGCAACGCATGACTGGTTGCCTGACAAGTCAGGGGAAAATTGCTATTTGCCCATGCGCTCGCGCATCGCAGATAAGATTCAGATATGCCACATGTTTCTGTTCGAAACACCAATTATCGAAGATGGTTTTGTTTCCCCAAATACATGTCGAAAAGACGTTAGCTAAACGAGGGTTTTATGGCAGCAGATTAGAGAAGTATGATTAAGCACGATACGAAAATAAACTGCTTGAAACTGTCGAAAGATCACTAGTTAGAAATTATCAGTGGCGTCGATTAAGTCTAAAATGAATGTGGGTTTCATTCGAATGGAGCATTTTTCGTGATTGAATCCTCATTGCCCGGTGCCCCTATGTGTTGTCCAAATCCCAGCGTCTTCCTAAAGCCTATTCCAGGAGATATGTTGCCAAATATAAAAACTTATTGTGAATGTTGAATATAACGATTGGTAGTTATATCGACGTAGTAAAAATATTTTATTATACATACACAGGAACTTCAATATGTATTATCTTTAATGTATGATCGTTTTGCTTAGCACAATTAAAAGAACTCTCTTTTGTTTCGTTTCACTTGGATGCACGAAACGTAAATATTTCTAAGCGGAGGTTTTCCGTCCAAAATTACTGTCAATAGTCCAGTAAATATTTAGCATTTTATCAACAATTATTCTATATTTTAGCAATTAATTTGTAACTCCATCAAACTGTTATATTAAAATGTTAATCTCAGGTAGAATTTGGGATCCTTTCTGGCCGTTCTAGCGCATATTCCGAATTTGTTTATAAAATTATAAATTCTTGCAAAATTGTTAATTCGCAGATTTAGGCTCTCAGATATCGGGAGATTCTCCCCTATTTAGATCTGCAAAAGTTGGAAATTGTTTATAAATTTGCAAATTTTTTATTGTCTCTTCTAAATCCTCTTTATACGCAATACAAAATTCCGCAATCCGATCGGTACTATCAACTTCCGTTCTCGAGATATTTAATTGTTTATTAGAACTTAGCACCTCATAATCACCCAATTTTTTGCGGTTCGCTCTCATTCCGTTCGCTCTCCGCACATAAGTATACTGAAAAGAGGAGTTAGCAATGTCTGGTTTCGACTGTTCTCTTCATTCGCTTAACGCCAAGAGTAGAGGTGATATTGCGCCCACGGTTGCGCCTCGAGGTGATATACGGTACAACGGAGAAAAATGATTACAATTTCTCGAAAAAAAAAGGAAAGACAACAAAAAACAAGCTGTAACTTCGACACGCTAACCGTTACTCTATCGCAACGCCTCGAAATTTCAGATAGATTACGCTTTGAGGCCGAGGTTAAGGAATATTTCTTTTAAAATTCAGTATTTACGTATCTCAAACAAATTGAGTGACATGGAATTCCGATTTAACGATATTCTGGTAAATATTTCAAATGTTATTACCCCCTTACGAAAGTTTCGTTGTAGGGCTACAAAGGTATTAATACCGCAAGCAAAACAAAAATACATTAAAAGTGACACTATAAATGAAATCCGTGACGAGCTAATATGTTCTACGAAGAGAACGAATCCCAATACATGAACGTAACTATCACCTGATGACATTGCTTTTACTATTTAAACATTTTAAATATTGACAAAAAGCCCTTAAAACTTACCAAATTTCGGGATATTATATCGTTTATCTGATAAATGTAAATGTTAATTGCATTGGCGAATCACGAAAATATACAAGATGCGATTAATTCATGTTCCAGCCAGAGGTTTGAGATTTTAAAAATATTACGCTGATAAAATTAAAGAAACAACGTGAGCGTATTACGTCCTGGCTTCACATTGATCCGACATGAACATACACAAATACAGTTTATATTGGCATGGCACGCCGTACGGGCCGTAAATTATTACGTATTTATTAATTATATTTCAATGTTTATAGAGTGTCAAACCGGATTTTAATTTGAAACAAACTTGATATGTGTGATTTCACAGTGAGACATCATATCAAAACAATAAATTGCTTGTTTAATAAAATCCTGGTCTATGATTCTCAAGTTAAAAGTTTTTTATTCAGGAAAAAGAACCTATCATATATGCTTGCGCATACAGATGTAATGTAACAGGCTTATTCAGGAAAAGATTGGCACAGGAATGCTATTAAATCAATACTCGTGTTCCACTTTTCTATTTATTATTATTGTTGTTTGATGTATCTGGCGTGTCCGATAAATTTGATGCCAAGATCAATAATGATAACAGAACCAAGCTATTTTCTAAATTTTAAATATAATTCACACATAAATGTCTCTTTTATATCCGATACATTATACATTGTCAAATGACACAAGTGAGATGTTATCAATGAAAATGCATTTTCTACAGTGATAAACACGCTGACAGAGGAACTTCAATATTGGGGCGGATGAGGCCGCCGAAGCTCTGCTCAGCGGGCGTCGTCAGCTGGTGCCGCCTCGTCGTTGCCGGTGGCGGCGGCGGCGGTAGCGGTGGCGGCGGCGGCCTCCTCCGCCCCCACCACGGCCCCCGCGGCGGGCTCCGGCTCGGCGCCCGTCGTCACAACCACGGGCTCCTGCCCGGGCTCCTTGCTGAAGGAGGTGACCACGGGCGGCTTGTCGTTGGAGCCCTGGATCACGGTGCCGTGCACCTTGCCGTCCGACCCCATCACGGTGGATGTGCCCACGAAGTTGGACACGACGCCCGGCTGCCCGGGCTTCGGCTTCGGGAAGGTCGCGCCTGGCCGAGAGCCCCCTGCAACAGCCGCCCACTCAACATCGACGTCATCGCACAAGGAGGAGTAATGAATTACACTCGTATACCACCGCAACAAATTAATAGTTATTAACATATCAAGGGCGCTTAAACGCTTCTAATGATCGAGCGGGGACCAAAATCTCGGGGACTTTTTGTTGCCCGACATCATTAGCACCACTTAACGCCTGTGGTGCATACAACATTTAATGTTTTGCCTAATTTTAATGATTCAGATTTACTTGTTTACGAGTAGTCGTTAAATAGATCTTAACTCGATTCGGTTTGTCTTTTCATATTTCTCTTCCATAATTCCATCTCATTATTCTCTTCATAAGAGAGCATGTACGAATATAATTCAACTGTATTCATATTTCCCTCGTAACCATGATCCGCTTGAGGTAAGTTATGCAGTGTACAGGGACCTCCCATCGAAAGGAATAACATGCATGTATCAATAACGTATCAGTAAACTGGTGTAGCTTCAAGAGCACACACTCCCTCGCATTATTAGAAAGAGTTACGCAATACTGAAATGTCACAATTTCTGCGCTACCTACACCTTAGATAATACTTGAAAACTTCCAATTCAACCAATTCAAAAGAAAAACGTGTGACGCATTTGTTTCGATAGACAGGAGCAGTAGTCATTTCCTACATTTACAAATGATATAAACGGAAATAAATTTAACTGTTACAGTATTTGCAAAACATAATTCAGCAAAAGAATAATAATTTCACAAAAACCTACTTTGAAGTAAGCTTTCAATTTTGGAATACCACAATCTGCTATCAAAACTTCAAATAGTAAAGAAAAGGGATGAATTCGAAGAATCTTGAAACCACTGTGTTGCCATTTTGCGAAATGATAACGCGTCAAATGAAATCATAGTCAGAAAAGAGGTTGGTAGCAAAAAAGCTCGCTAAAATGTTTCGTGTGTGCTGACAAGACGCCTTCAAAAACTGTTTTATCTTCGTATGTTGGTTTTTGGAAAGTTAGAATAAAGTGTAGTAGTAAATTAACTAATACTATTATAAACAAATTTGTAGATACGGCAGATAAGCATTACTCCATTTTACGTTGTGCATATTCGAATGAAGCCTACATTTATGGCAAATATTAGGAGCGCCTACCGAAGAAGTTGGGGAAGCCTCCGCCACCTGGGCTTCCAAAGCCGGCGCCTGAGCCGGGGCCGAAGCCGGCGCCAGGGCCAAAGCCCGCGCCGAAGTTGGAACCAAAGCCCGGACCGAAGCCCGAACCGAAGCTGGCGCCAAAGCCCGAGCCGAGGCCGGGGCCAAAGCTCGAGCCAAAGCCCGAGCCGAAGCCCGAGCCGAAGCCCGAGCCGAAGCCCGGGCCGAAGCTGGAGCCGAAGCCCGGGCCGAAGCTGGAGCCGAAGCCGGGCCCGAAGCCCGCCCCGAAGCCCGAGCCGAAGGGCGAGCCGAAGCCTGCGCCGCCGAAGCCGAAGGAGCTCTGAGGCCGCAGCGACTCCGCCAGCGCGTCCGCCACCGAGCAGTTCTCCAGCGCCGGCCCCGCGCACTTGATCAGCTCCACGATCAGCGCCTGCGCAACGCAAACGCTCATCAGGGGCGGGCATTTAAAGCAATGTGGGCTTCCGCGGTCAGTGGCAGGTGAGTGCTCGCAGCTGCCCGGGGGACGCCGCGTCGAGGGCATCGATGCCTGTTTCGACCATCCTATCGGGATTTTCTTCGAAGCCGACGCCTGAAGTACACTGCATTCCCGCCCTGAAAATGACCTCGTTAGGATGATCGAAACATCGCATCAATGTGCTCGACGCGACGTCACCCGGACAGCCACATGCCTTCTGTATACACAAATGTTCGGCAGGTACATGAAATCTCCCTGACTGCGTCAGAACGCGACCTGTCGAACACTATAATGTGTAGAGGGTTGCGTCACTATCAGGGACACATGTCATATGTATATCTCATTTTTTTTTCAAATTTCCATCCTATATGTCCATTGGCAAAAAGTTATCATTTTCAACCCCTCTACAAGCTCGAGAAGTTTGTAACATTTATCCTGAGTCACTCTGTACTATTCCATTGACTCCACGAGCTACTAAAATGTGACATTTTGAATGTAAAGGATCTTGATTTCGTAATCGGGATTACTTAACAATTAACTGATACAATTATTTTTCTGACGTATCTAGAATAATGGGATCTGTGAAGCCATGAAATATTTTTGTTGATAGTTTCTCCTTTTTCGTAGTGAATGAAAACTTTCCACATTGTTCGCTGTCAAAGATAATTCCTAAATGCCAAATAAATCTATAATAATATAAACTATATAAACAAATCTATGAGTGGAAATATTAAATACAAACTATAACACTATTCCAAATTAGTAGTAATTGACTTTTTCAGTAAGCTAAACCCACTATATTTATATGACCATCGATGCGACGTCACTTCTGTTGGGACAATTGTTTAATAAGCCATCATTTAATAAGCCAACATACGATGAAGAAAACTAAATCAAAAACGTGTTTTTTTATTAGAAGAGTGACCTCAAGAGTGCATTTTAGTTCTCTACAATATTGCAGTGATGGTAAGTCACTCCGTAAGCACAGAAATGTACAAAAGTTTGGTTATTTAATTATTATTTGTTTATCATTTGAATCTCCAGTATATCACAATCATCACAGTCACTACAATCTAATATATCGGTCGCAGTTGATTTCTCGAAAAGTGACTCTTTACAACTAATAACATATTTTGAGTGACCGAATTAATCATAACAATCATCTCTTTCTGTTGAAATTTTATACTTTGGGCCTCGAATTCACAAATACTGAAGAAAAGGGAGTATCTGTAGGATCGCAGAAATGTGTAGTGATAGTTCACCAATCACCAAGAGATAGAATACGATAAGTCTGTATGAGCCCTCCGGAAATATATTTGTCTGTCATACGGAGGTGATTAGTGTCTCCAGCGATCTCTGGTGGCTGCTCAACTTCAAGGTACACGAAACGGCTCATCTCAGTTTCGAAGATAACACGAGATCTGCGAAGAACCAGGGAATGGTTCAGAGCGCAATGATTGTAGTAACTTCCTTCGACCACGTTATAAGGTCTGTACAAGCAAAGATTCTCTCCTGGTAAGACCGCTACCCGCCTGTAAGTAGAATAGTTAATTTATAAAGACTTGTTAATATATTTCACATTACTGCTTTATACAACAAATAAACGAATGATTTATTAACAGTACGAAGTCAAGGAAAGAATTTAACATTCAAACATATTCTTACTAATTGGCAAATTTTGTTTATAGAAGGAAGAATTTGAAAGTAAAATAAACACGAAATAAAGTAACACGTATAGTGCATAAATACAGGGCAAATCTTAAGAGAAAACATCAGGTAAACATTTCGTAAAACAATGTGAGAGCGTCAAGTATTTGCAGACACACGAGCGTCGAAACACGTACGTCATTGACGCCTCTTAGTAGGCCACACGGGCACGATCACTGTCGCGCAGCGGACATCATACGAGTGTGGTCCGTGAGGTCCCGAGGGCATACACTAGCAAAAGTGGCTGCTGCGGAGTTATTACTTTGGAATGAAACTTAGAAGAGCAAAAAAGCAGATGATAGGGCCATTCCTTTTCCCCCCAGCCGTGTACGACGGCATATGCCGTTCATGCTTTTGAATGCGTCGCCCGGGTTACTCGACATCTTTTGCGAAGTGATCGCTGGCTAGCATTTCAATATAGCTTCTTGTATACCAATTTTTATGTTTTTTACATAAGCTGTTGATTTTTTATGAACGAAATTGTGGTTGCTAACGTAGAATGTTCTGTGGTAGTACTACAATTTCAGGATTCACAAAATAAATTATCCAGACCTAATTTCTAGTACTAAAACCAGAAGTTCATCTAAGGAAGTGAGTAATGTGTGTTAAGCAATAATATCAGAAAATAAACATCATATTATTGCAAAATTTGCCTTGGAAAATAATTTTGTATTGTTATTTGCTTTGAAGTACACATCTAATGGAACGTTACGGTTTATTTATTATTTTAGGTAAATGTTCATATTATTTGAGATCATATGAATAAACTAAATGAAATAACATACTTTCATCCATATATTTTGCTTTAATAGTTTAGAAGATATATAATAATTTTAACCTGGATGAAAACCGAATTGTAACTTAGGCACGACGACTGCGCTTCGACAGACGCTTGTGCGCGGCTAGCCGTCGCCTCACCTGTCGCTGGTGCAGCAGCTGCAGCTGGTCGCGCAGGCCGAGGATGAGGTCGAGCAGCACCTTGTTGCCCGGCTCGGCGGGGGCGGCGGGGGTGGGCGCGGGCGCGCGCGGCGGCAGCGGCGCGGGGCGGAACTGCGCGAAGGGGCCGAAGAAGCCGGGCGGCCAGTCGGCGCGCCCCTGCGGCCCCGCCCCCGCGCCCGCGGGCGACAGCTCCACCACCTCCACCACGTCACCCGACAGCACGCCCGACAGCCCTGCGCGCACAACACACGCCTCTCATTCATTAGTGCTTCCGGGACGTCAACTCATCAGGTCAATAGTCCCGGAAATGTAGTCCGTGTTGTATCGCGACAAGTGGCTGTGTTCTTCCGTTTAGATGGAAAGATATGGAACTGACCTACACATTGGCTTGCGGAGGTTTTTCCCAATCTTCACCAGTGAGGTGCCACCCCAGTGCGGACAAGCTCTCTTCTCCTGACTGGTTTCCCGACATCGTGTGGTAGTGTTGTGTGTGTGTACGCAAATGGTAGGATAGAACAAGGAAGAGGAAGGAAACATCGCCCGCGGCCCATGGCCTGTTTGTTAGGGTGCCACTCCGGCATTCGAGTGGTATTGAATGATTAAACCATGTAAAACTTCCGATCAGAGCATTCGGCGAGAATTCTCTTCCAGTCGAGGGCTGAAGTCGACCTAGCTATTTACCGAAGGTCGAAAAAGCTGCCACCTTTGGAAATGGAACCCTAGGTTCTCCCGGTCATAGGCACTGCAGTTACATCAGTTGATACCTGAGCAACCTTAGCCGGTGACTTTGTTATTGTCTCCACCCCTGGGGACAATACCTCAACCAAATAAGATTAAAAATAAAGCGAGAAAGTGCGTGATGTTGTTGCTCTCCTGGTTTCTGAATTTACATCCTTGTTATAACTTACAATGTTATTTGAACTTTCGAAACATTACATAGTATTCAAGTTGATCATAACCTTAGCGTGTCTCATGGTAGCTCCCGGTCTGAGCAGGTTATAGTGTGCGCTTTCCTTGCAATGTCCCCTTATCTATTGCTGTATGACGAAGAGAAAATTTCACTTCTTCGGTTGAGGAGACCAAAATACAGCGTAAGGGATGTGTAAGTGCTAATATACGTCCCTACAACATTCCCGAACTTCCCACTGATCGTTAAATGTTTAATGGGAAAGTACGGAAGTAACAACCATTATACCCCATATTTTTTATAGCAGGACAGCTATTGAGTAGAATTTAATATTTCAAAAACTGTCTAACATTTTACAGATTTTTAAATGGATTCAGTTGTTTTCAACGAAATGAAATTTAAAAAATTCCGATTTAAATTTAAAAAATCTGCTATAAACAAAAAAACCTGATTTAAATAACAAATTCTTATTTAAATAAAAAATCTTATTTTTTGACTTTTTAGAAAAATAATTATTTTTTCCAGCCCTAATTATAACTTGTTTGAAGCACTTGTACTCACATATCCAATAATCTGAAAATACCACCTGTTACACAAATATTAACGACCTGATATTTTTTTTAAAGGTGTAATTTTTAAATATAAAAAAATAAATAGAATAACGTTTAAAAACATTTTAACCGTTTTTGAGAAAATCTGGTTTTTAAAATTGCCAATTTTTAATTCATAATTACGCAAGAACTATTTTGAAAAAATGAAGGTAATCTCGTCATTCTGAAAGACACAATGGATCAATGGAAGTATGCAGTATATATCCTTAGGGCAATGTCCACGTCTATGTGCAGATCGGTGTTCCTCAGCAAGGCGGCACCTACCAGCAGAACAACGCAACGTGTCATACAGCTGGCTGTCTACGCGTGTGGGTTGAAGAGCACCGGATTCGCTTACAGTACTCCCCTGGCCACCAAACTTCCCCGATTGAAACTCAATGGAGAATCTGTGGGCGCATCTCGATCGGGCTGTTCGCACCGTGGATCCGCAACAAGCGCAGCTAGAACTGAAGCCGGCGTGGCTCTACATCCGTCTGTTCCATCCACAATCTAATTGGCTCTCGTCCTGCACGACTCTCAGCGGTCAGCGCAGCAAAGAGGGGTTATTAAGGATTTTGACGGGTGGTCACATTAATGTGATTTCATTGTATAATACCAGATATTAAGGCCTCGACTCCAATAATAGATTTAACATAATAAACTCTCGTATGAAAGTCTTAAGTTTATCAGATTCAATGAGTTTTTGGAAGTAATTATACTTAGACCTCTTGTTTTAATTGACAAATATTTGTACAAACTGATATGTATGACTGCAATATTATTACTACAAGTTTCTGCCTTTTTATCGCGTCACAGATAATGTATTTTATCCCTTCGGCCAGGGGCCCGCCACCGTTAGTAACCGGGATTCTCAGACTGTCACTCGTCCAGGAAACCGATGTATCTTGACATTGCATAACTTCCGTGACTTCAGGAAGCGTAATTGAGCAATTTAGAAGAAGAGGCAGAATGAGATGATGGGAAGAGAGGAATGAGAATAAAAACTAGTGGCGCTGCATCAGTAGATATTTTCTCGTTCTATTGGTAACGGATACGTAATATTATAACACTTACATTTCTGTCCTACCAAGCGTTCTGGGCTTACTGGAAATCTGGATTTACTTCGGCAGTCACGTGTATGTGCTATTGCTTACCTATCAAAACAAATACCCATGATTAAATCACCATCGTAACAGTATTGGGATCACATCATACGAACAAGTTTGGATAATTTCATAATTTTGCCTTGATTATTTCTAAGAAAGGTGTCACCTTTTAAATAAGTGTACTATCATCAGCGATCGAATCTCTTTAAAGAAGTCTAACTACATCGCTTAATGAAGGCAACAAAAAAGTATATTGTATTTTACCTTTTAAATATATTAGAAACAATGATTAAATGTTTCAACGATTTATTTTGCTCTAAATGAAAAGTCATAGTGAATCAGTTGCTATAATTAATTTAAAACATAAAAACTAAATATTAATTATATCCTGAAATTAATAGACATACAATTATTAGACATGAAACAAGGTTTGGGAATTTTCTTCTCGTATTTTCCATATATTGAATACCTAGAAATTTTATAACTTTTCTTCAGCCACATCCAACACATATCTAATTTTCGGCTGCTGCATTCTGCCTGACATTTTAAGATTTGTTCCCACTTTCCAAGCTTTGATTCGTGTGGCTTGTATATTTTCTGCACAACTACAGTTTGCTGCACTGCTACAACAACAGTTCTGCATAACTGTGTTACGCATTTGTATGAAATCGTTAAAAATAAGTTTTGAAAAAGAGGGACTTTCGCCTCAATTATACGCGCACTTTGTTCTATGCAGTTATTTACGTGATGTCATTCACTTTTTGTTGAATCTGAATAATTGGTGAGTAATAACACTAAAAGAGGGGGAAGTGTTTCATTATGCCGTGCATTCCCATTAGTTGAGAAACAAGTACTTTTTTCTTGCATCCTTAGAGTACTTTATATTACGTACCAGTATATGAGAAAATATTCTGTTGCTACAACAGGACATACTTTCTTGTTTTTCTGCGATGAATAAGTAACATTAATGAACAATATTGTAAATTGTGTTCCACTAATTATTCACCAAGCTCGTGAAATACTCTCTTTTTTAAAGCGTAAGAGAATATAATTTGCAATTTTCGAAAGCGTTAAAAATACGTTTTGATAAAGAGGCACCTTTGCATCATTTATACGAGTACGCGCACTTTGTTCGAGGAAAATCGTTGGACCGGCATAAAGATTTCTTTGGAGTCGCAATGAATGAATTTGGGCGATGCTCCCCGGATGCAAGTTGCTGGAAGTCTCAGCCTGAGAAAGGCTGCTTGTTCGCGAGCGAAGTGCCGTGGCGCGAGCACTCTGGCCCAGGTGGCACAAGGTGGAATATGCCCGTTCTGGGAAATACTCTTCCCGAAATACCCCAAGTCCTCTGCGATGGGGGAAAGAGTCTGCGCTTCCCTTGTGTATTATTTAGTGGAAGACGCTGCGAGGCGCAGTCTCCGCCAAGAGGTCATTCGGTAATTCCCTGAACTGAACTAGTTCGGGGCGAGAAGCAAGACGTCTCGACAAGGAGCAAGGCTTTTCATTGTAGTGGCTTTGTTTTGAGTGGAGAGATTGATGTTTTCTCTGTGATCAGCCTTCCGTCTACGCAGACGATATGTCAAAATAAAAAACAAATAAAAAACTTCGTATTATAGATCGAGTTGAAAACAGTGAAAGTATAAGATAGTCTTGAGGCACAATGAACTTGTATTAGCATTTGTCTTTTATAAGAATTCCTGCCTATAGAAAACAAACACAAAAATTTGGCACCTAGATGTTTCTTATAACAGAAATATACCGTAATTGATCAATTTTTTTTTTAAATTGATGTTTTAAAAGTGGTGTGTTATTTCTATGCGTGAATCAAGTGCGAACGGGAGACTCTGTGCATGCGAAGAAGAGTCAACTACGCAGACAATCGCTACTCAGAAAACATCGGGCAGCCCAATGTGAGATAGGGATTGTAGTCATCCAGAATTGGGTAGTGTCTGCGTTAGTGATTTGTTCTCACGTGGAATGTAAATGTAATTTGTAGCACAGGTTGCCCCGCGAACTCTGCGCCGCGAACTCTGCCTTCGCCTCTGCAGAGTCTGCGGCGCGGTTACGGTGTGTGCCGTTCGTGGAAAACATTAATTTTAAAATTGATTAATTTGAACGTTTTATTTTAAACTTTGAATGATGTAAAATTGTAATAGTACTTTCTTCATATTTTATTCCGCTAATATAAATTATTTTCACAGTAAATAATTATTCATTCTTAATTGAAAAAAGTTCCAATTCACTTGTTGTGAGAGATTGGGTTTACACATTGTTTTAAAAAAATACGGGACACTATTTTTTCTTCTGAAAGTATTTTAATCTCATAAATAGTAATTGGATGTTCTCTTTCACTTCATATATTTATTGCATTACTGGTTGTCAGGGGGTCGTGTCTTTGGAATCTAACTGTTTTTGTGTGTGTGTTATGGTGTAAAGAAAAACTGATGTCGTACGCCCAAAACATATCTTCTCTTCAGGACAACAACAATAAAAAAGGAAAGTGACCAAACATGTGTCTAAACTGTCCAAACGTTTTAAATTCTATAATTTTTTATCATTTAAGTATTAATGCAAAAAATAATTTACTTTAAATTAAATTTTCTACAATTTCGATTCTGAGAATATTGTTGTAAACTAAGCGCTGAAGTGCTAAAAAGCAACGTTTGTCGCAGAATATGGGGCAATCAAGTGTTTTTTAAAATTTTCGATTTGCTGTAGTAAATAACTCGAAAACTTTTGATTATAGTAAATCAGATAGAAACAATCATATATGCAATTTTGTTAGCCTTCTTTTTGAAAACAGTAACTTTTTTACTATGTTGTGCCGTTTTCGTTAAATATGAGAAAAACAATTTTCACTTCAGAACTGGGTTTAGAGCGATATAATGTAAACATTAACGAGTTCCCAGTCCTACGAGGAGTTTGTGCAACAGGTGAGCATTCAGAAAGTCCCTAATTTGTTTTTCTAGCAAGATGTTAAGTAGAAAACTAAAATTTGACTTGTTTTTTCGTGGCACACAAAATCAAAAATAGGGACCAAGAAAATATGGAACATTTTGCCGCCCCGACAAATTTTTTTCGGGAAAACGGGGCAGAACTGATAAGAAACATACGATCCCCTATTTGAGGCGCCCTTTGGACTTGTAGTCCGATTTAAATGTAGTGTCTCCTCAAGATCACGGAGAGGGAGACCCTCATCCAATCGGGAACTCCTTACCAAATGTGTAAGTAGTAACGAAGCCCCCGACTGGAGGACAGTGTGCCCCTCGCGTTCCAGCTCGTTACCTTGAGGAGACGCCGATCTAAATGTTGTGTCCCATCACACGTTTGAAGGAGAGGGGATGCATTGTCATCCAGTGGTGAGCTTCGTTAAGACTTAAAATTTTTGGTATTGAACCTCCCCCTCCTTCCATCTCATGACCTTGAAACGCGACATTTCAATGAGGCGAACGAGTGCGAGGGGGCGTGGCGGGGAGTACCTGGCAGGGTGCGCGTGCGAAGGGCAGGCACGGCGGGCGCCAGCAGCACCAGCGTCGACAGCAGCAGCAGCAGCAGCGGGGGCGGCGGCGGCGGCGGCGGCGCCGGCGGCGAGCGGCACATGGCGGCGGCGACGGCGGCGGCGGAGGCAGTGGCGCTGCCCGCGAGGGGCGGCCTTTTAAAAGCCCCCGGCCACGGCGGCGCTTGCCCAAGGCGCGGCCATTAGCCGTATCGCCCAATGGCGCAGCGGCCATAAACGGATAAGATACAAGCGGCAGCGGCGTCCCGGATGCGCCGTTCCTCCATAAAGGCCGCCTCCGCGGGAAGCACGACCTCTGCCCCCCCCCCCCGGCCTTCCCACCTGGCGAAGCCTTCCAGCGCACCTCACCAACACTCGCTCGTTATATCTTTCACACCGGGAGAGGTGGCTCAGGGCATCGTGACACTGCAGTGCCTCTGGCCGGGAGGTCCTAGGGTTCCAGTTCCGACGGTAGCGGGATTTTCCGCACTAGCCAGATAGCTAGGACGCGTTTTGCCCTTGTGTGCAGGAGAATTCTAGTGGCCCGCTGCTCTGATCGGTAGTTTCCCGTGGAGTTTCCAATCAATACCAGGTGAATGCCAGAGCAGTACCCAACCAAACAGGCCACGGACCGCGCGGCATCTTTCTTTCCTATTGTTTATCCCTTACGTAGACACACTTACACTTCCATGCACTACTCTACCACA